AGATACATGGTACAATTTCATTTTTTTTTTTTTTTAATTTTCTGAGGCTTGTTTTGTGGCCTGTAAGATGGTCGATCTTTGAGAAAATTTAAAGAGCAAAGTTTTAAAAGCTAAAATAAAAAATGAATTTCTGAAACTAGCATTTGTTTTTATTAAGTCAGTGTAGTCACAGTAATAATAAATTGGGCCTTCTAACACTGGCATATATGATTTTTTCTTTACATTTTAAAATGATCAATTATCACTGTAAAATTAAATGTTACTAGCATTAACTGTCTCCTTTGAAAGGAACTCAAAAGTAAAGCAGTGTTTTTAAAATCACTTCTGTGTAAAGTTTTCTGTTTAAAATGCCTCAGGTTTAAATGTTGGGCTTAATTTTCTTTATAACAAATTTAGAAGTGATTGGGTCATGATATTTCTTTTTCCCTCAAAAATTTATTTGCAAAGCAAGATTTCGCTGACATTTGGCCATATGTCTATTTGAGTTTTAATGGCCGAGAATGACCATGAAGAATCTGTACTGGTGTTAGAACCTGCTTGGCTTCCACCAAGTGTCCTGGCCATCGCCCTCAATGCATTGCCATAAGCTAAAAGTCGAGACATATAGCTTGGTGACTGAACAAATATTTTTATTGAGGCAAAAATGTATGCTTGTCTGCATCTGTTCTTTTAATTTTCTTCCAACTTTTAGAAATAAAATTGTTACAGAGGATTTTTTTTTTTTGGCTGAGGCAGAGAATATAAGACTTACATTTAATATTTGATAAAGGCTAATGCAGGTGATTTTTTCTATAACAAATAACAATATTTTAATACGTGCTGTTACTAATTCTACAATAGAGCCTTGTTTTTGCATTCATCTAAGGAAAAACTTGAATTTCCTGACATTTGATGGCTAATTATTTGCTTTCTTCATTCATATATCAAACATTACAGCCTGTTTGTTCAATGCCAGACAGTGTGAACATAAGGAAACTAACCCTAGTCCTTGCTCTGAAAGCCCTGCCGACTAGTGAGGCGGGAAGGAGACAAAGCAGCAGCTGTGTATTGTGTGCTGTGTATATGGAAGTTGCTAGCGATAATTCAGCCTTGGGCATTCTCATGGGCAAAGAGTGGTGGCAGAGGAGGCAGTGCCCATCTGAAGCTGTGTGGCCCCTGCAGGTTCCGCAGCACAGTACGGCAGCACTGGAAGCACCAGCCTACCGTGCTTACCAGGTGCAGCAGTGTGCTCTGTATTTGAGGAATGGAAAGGCAACACAGGAAAGCACGAAGCATGGGGTTGCATTTGAACCAGGTAGTGCGGAGAAATGTTTGAATGAAGAGGTATTAGAACCAGGGAGACATATGAAGATATCAGCTGACTCACCAATTTGGAAAAATCAGCTTGATTCTCATGAAACTTAAGAAACCTGCATGGAACTGAGATTTCTGTTGGGAATGTCAGAAAGGGGTAGATGTGTGGGAAATTTAGGAGAGTGTAAAAAAAAAATGTCAACATGTTGGCTATTTGGACCAGTGTGTGACTGTAAAACAAAAAGCACACCTTGTGTCCAGATGGAAGTGTCTTCCCAGTTGCTGCAAACTGATCGCTTTTGATCACTGTATTAGATCACAGTGCAGTTGCCTGTCCTTAGTATGACCCTACTCACAGTGCAGTATCTTTTCACAGTAAATGCAATAAAGAGGATCAAATATGTTCTAGAACTCGGAGCAGTGTGTATTAGGGCTGCTGTAGCACAGGTGTGATGGACTGTTCTTTTGGGATGGAAAGTTGGAACTGAAGGTGCTTGAGATTCATCTTAAACATTCGCTAGAGAGAAGGGGCAGGCACAAACACACAGAAACACACATGAACTGAAACTACTAGTACAGTTGAAGCCCAAGACACATAGCAGAAAATTAGGCTGATGTGTGGCCTGGGGCCATGTTGTCAGGGGATGTTGTATAAAAAAAATAGGGAAATGTGATAAATTTCCTTTACACACAGAGATTTTGGGTGTAAAGAAAATTGTCACATCATCTGAGCAGTGCCAACAATGAAGTGTGGTAAATTTCCCTTCTGACAAATTGTAAGCTTAAATGTATGGTGCTTTCTCATCTTTGACATCCCCTCTTGTGTTATATCTTCTTCCATGCAATTATATATTAAATTGTGTCAAATAAAGTATTGTATTTTCAAAAATTCCTACCTCAGCCTCAAAAAAAGTGTCAAGAGTGATTTTATAAATATGAAGGAAATAGCCAAACTGGAAGATGAAAACATTCGATAAGCAAAGAGAGGATTTTCAAAGCATCAGATCTTGCCGTCGTCGGAGAAAGCTCTGGTGTGGCCCACAGGCTCCTGTCCAGCCCCCTTACCTTCTGCTAACCCTCGTGTTAGTCACTTGATGAGCCCTTGCTGGTCCATCTCTGCTGCTCTCAGCCAGTGAGCCCTTCACCTACCTTGCCGTAAAAATAGTAAATGGTCAACAAGTTTCCTCTCTTCTCTATCTGATACATAGATACTTACCTGCTCTCATATTCAGTTTGTCTTCCTATTTCCCGTGTAGCACTGAGTCTTTGTACTTCCCTATATTTTTTTAGGTGTTGTCTGATGAACACATGGAACTTGTTATAGTAAAAGAGAAAGCAGAATTTTCACCCTATGGCCAAGTCTAACTGGCCCAAATAATCATGAAAGAAATATCATGAGAATGGCGAATTTAGTTTTTTAAAAATGTGGGTCAGTGTTGTGGCATAACAAATGAAGGTGATATCTGTGACACAGGCATCCCATGTGGGCACCTGTTCAAGTCCTACCTGCTCCATTTTCAATTCAACTCCCTGCTGATGCACCTGAGAAACCAGTGGAAAGTGGCCCAAGTGCACCCACATGGGAGACCTGGAGCAGGAGCCCTCTTGCCAGCTGGCCCAGCCCTGACCGTTGTAGCCATTCGGGGAGTGCACCAGTGGACAAAAGATTTTCTCTCACTTACTCAATCTTGGTCTCTCCCTTTCTCTGTAACTTTACTTTTTAATTAAAATAGATTTTCAAACACATTGATGTTACTACTTAATTGATGTAAACTATTTTAAATTTTAAAGCAATTGCTAGCACTCAAGTATCTGGCAGCAGCATTGATCAGGAAATTAATGACAAAACTGTACTATTGAAACAGTGCAGTACTTACTATTTTAGTTCCTTTTATCGTTATGCAATCTTGATTCTTCAGATAAGCATAGAAATGTGTCTTCACATAACACAAGGTTGTGTTCATGCTAATAACAAGTTGTGAAAGGAAACATGTTCCCTACATTTGTATGCACGATTCTGTGACCTAGTTGCAGGTCTCCCCTTCTGCACACACCTTTTCTGTTTCTGGCTCACATGCCTCCGTGAGTTCTGAAACATATAGTGGCCACTGCTTGCCATGCCAGCATCTCAGAGTTTTAAGTCCTGGCTGTTCGACTGTCTACTGATGTACCTGAAATGCAGTAATAGATGGGCCATGTAATTGGGTCCCTGCCGCCCATAGAGGAGACTGGAATGGAAGTCCTGATCTAGTTATGGCTACTGTGGCTAGTTGGGAAGCAAACAATCAAACGGAAGATAGGCAGACAGACAGACTAACCCTTTTCCCATTCTCTTCTATCAGTCTTTCAAATAAATAAATATTTTAAAATAAGATACATAGAGCATTATGGCCCTAAAAATCTGTAGCAATTTTAACTTCATGCTTGTTGATTCAGCTACATGTTTCTCAGTTTCGTTGTGTGTTTTCCATGAACTCCTAGCCAGTGTATCCAGAGTACGCTGTTTGCCTCTCCAAATGAGAAAGGTCCTTATATTTCTATAACACTACTCTTTTGCACCTGTTGTTGATTCTGTGCAATTTTAGTGTTGTGATTTTTGCTTTTCTCTACTTTGAAACACACATATAGCATTGACACTTGTGGAAAGGGTCCTTCCCCCTTACCCTGTGCCTGCTGGACTGGTCAGTCCCACCTGATTAGCGTTGACACAGCATTTATTATACTAAATCTTAGTCGTCTCCTTGGTTGTCCATCACTGCACACATGAGGTGATCATTCAGTGTATCTTAATACTGTTGTTGCTTTATGTTAATATTTGTTAAAATATCAAAAGCATTTCAGTAAAAATTTCTGTTTAGATATTTGTTTCAGCAAAGTCAATGCATTGAGGTCTTACATTTGTTAGAAGCTTTTCAGAACAAAGTGATCTATTTAAGCAGGTGTTGGCGGGGATGCGCGTTTGGGCTTGATTGTGTCTACCTGAGTGCAGCACCAACTTTTGCTTACCTTTCAGCTTTCTGCTTGTGCTAAACTCCGGGTATGTCAGAGTTCAGGGAGTGCTGACACACCCTATGCTTGAATGTTGCCTTTTAGATTCTTAGGAACATTTCAGTGCTTTTCAAAGCCGAAATGGACATTTCTTTCCCCACTTTAACTTTGAAGCTTTCTGATTAACATATTGTTTGACCAGTTTTTTTCTGCCACTTAAGTCAGCTGAAATCTTAAGCTATTGCTTTTTTTTTTTTTTCAGATATCCCCAGGGCAAAGGCTTTTCACTCTGTGTACCATCCCAGTCAAGTCAAATAGAGTGCTCAGGGAATGGGTCTTGGGAGATCCACCCTTCTCTGTCCCTCCTGGTAGCTTCCAGGCTGCTGGTGACAAGGCTTCTCCGAAGTGTGGGCAGGAGGGTAAAACGGGCTGTTACAACTGCACGAAACTTCCTCAGAAAATCAGCGCTTGCTGCTGTATTTCTGAATCCTTTGATTAAATTCCAGGATTCTGAAAAATGTGAAAATGTCCTTCCAGTTTCCTTGTAGACATGTAGAGAATGCTTGTAAATTCACAGTCTGCGATTTCCATTGAAGTCACACATGTCTTTTTTTTTTTTACACTGAAGACTACCCGAATTAATGAAAATTCACTTAGAGCAGGATGCTTCTTTGTAGAAACTTCTCTGATGTTTTTGTGCACCTCCTATTATATTTTAGGACTATGATGATGGATATGGCACTGCCTATGATGGACAGAGTTACGATTCCTATGATAACAGCTATAGCACCCCCGCCCAAAGGTAAGAGTTGTTCTTCACTACCAAACCCACAGCAGGCCCTGCCCTTTCCTAGGTGTGTCCTCTCTGGACGAGAAAATGAGGGTCTCGTTAGCTAATGAGCCTCATTTTGCTTCCCCTGTTGTGTTTTTGTTGTTGTTTCTTTTGATTATAAAAGCTCTGTCTGTTAAACAACTAGCATATATGACCTCACTGAAGTTTACTGTGCTGGTAAAGCACTCAGGCATGGGAATGAAAATGGAATTTTTTCTTTAAACATTTGGCCTATGTGTTCAGTAAATTGCTAGAAGTAACTATAGTCTCAAAATCCGTGATTATTTTTCAATTCTAAGTGGAAAAATTACATTAGAAGTGAATATACCTTAACTGGAGAAGAAATGTCAAACTTTATGTTATTATTATTATTATTATTATTTAACCTCACACAATTTTTCAATTTCTTAGCAGCACTCCTGTTTTCTAATAACTTGGAATTCCACCTGTAAATAACGGATTCTGGTTCATCTAAATAAACATTCCCTTAGAAACAATGTCATATGAGGCAAACATAACTTTATAGTCACCTGTGTGGTAATACATTAATAGTCACTGGTAGATTAAGGCAGTGTGTATTCTGTTCAGAACCTTTTTCTAGAGATATTGATACCAGAAACCTTTTGTTCTTTGTTTTAAATCTAAGTGGAATGCACAGCTAGACATACAAAAATACTGGCTTTAGTGTGATTATAAAGTGTAAATATAGTTTATTAAAACAGAGATTTACTTTTGAACTCAGCGCGTGTAAAGCTTTGAGCTCAGTCTCTGGCTTGTTAACTCTGCTGATGACTTTGTCCTTTTCACTCCTGCCAATTTCTTGTGTAAATTGTGACAATGAAGTAGTGTTCAAATTTTGACTCTGAACTGCTCTTTTGTTTTGGGAGCCTTGGTCATCGTGTTTGTATCTTTGATTTTTATTGGGAGTAGCACACTACCGTATTTATTGAGTCTGGTGACTGGTATAGCAGTGAGTGCTAAGTTAGACTGTCCGTATGGTTTCATTTAAGTGTCACGGGCACTTTGTGAAGTTTGTAGTGCTACACCCTTTATGTAGGTAAAGGAAAAGAACGTGAAAGGCCTAGCCTACTTGGAAAGATGAACTTCCAATGCAGATGCCATAACTAAAAGATTAATGTTCATATTTAACAAAAAACTGTTTTTCTAGATTTTGTTTGACAGCAAAAATGTACACAGATATCTTACGTTTACACTAACTAACCTGGCAAAGCATGCCTTCCACTGCACATCATTGCCGGACATGTGCTGTGTTTTGGCATCTGTCCTCTTGAGTGTCATCATCCTGGAGCCTGGTCCATGTGGGGAGGACCAGTCCTTCAGGCAGGTGCCAGGGCTCTTGGAGAGGATGCTGAATAGCCAGGCTGCCTGGCCTTGCCCGGGAACTCCGCGGGGGGGGGGGAGGGGTGGTTGCTCAACTGGTGTGACTGCCAAGCGCTTATTCTTAACTTTGGTGCTTTTTCTACAGTCTCACTTCATTATCCTGTTAGTTTTGTCCCCATATCAGTTATAATATTCAGTGTTGAACCTTAAAATGCATTTTTTATTACTTGATGGTGACAGTGCTATTTACAATTTGATTTGTTTTGTGGAGAAGGGAAGGGACCTAATATTTACTGAGTACCTACAGTATAGTCAAATGCTGCTTAATCATTAGGGCATATTTTGAGTTATCCCACATTCTTATTCATCACACATCAGGGAAAACATAGAGTATTTGGCCTTTTGAGACTGGCTTATTTCACTAAATGTAATAGTTTCCAGTTGTACCCATTTACTTGAAAAAGACAGATTCCACTCCTTTTAATGGCTCAGTAGTATTCCATGGTGAATATATGCCATATTTTTGTTATCTAGTCATCAGTTAATGAGCATGTAGGTTGATTCCCTGTCTTATTGTGATTTTTGCCTGTTCTATATAAACATGGAAGTAGAAATAACTGTCTCATATGCTGATTTCATTTTATTTGGATAATTTGCCACAATTAGGATGATTAGGTCATTTGGTTGATTCATTTTTTTAAACATATTATACCATTTTATGTAATTGAGGAAGAATATGTAATTTTATCATTTTTGGATCTCCTTTTAACTTTGTAAGATTAAGGGTATGATTTTTTTATTGTTGCTGTTCTTTTCTGTTATACAGTTGTGTAGTTGCAGGACTCTTCCCCTTTGCCCTCTCTCTTCTGCCTCTCCATTCTTTCCACTCACGATTTTCTCCCGTATTATTACAATGATATAACCTTTCAGCTAGTCACAATGCTAACATTTTGTTATCTAAGTATAACATGACAATGTAGTTACAGGCAATGAAAGAAAGCTAGTATCAAATTTTCAAGGAGTATGTATCAGTTTCCCTGGAACTCCTTCTGTTTGATCAGGGGTTGAGATGCACACTGCAGGGTTTCTTCACTTCCCGGTTTGCCGGTCTCTATTGTACAGTTCATTTGTGAGAATGCATGTTTATACTTGTTTACCTGTATATCCATTTTTTTTTTTGTATTTTGATCATGTTTGCCTTAAATCAAAGAAAACATACGGTATTTGTTCATTTGAGACTGGCTTATTTCACTGAGCATAATGGTCTCCAGTTGAGACCATTTTGTAGCAGATAATAGAATTATGTTCTTCTTAGTGGCTGTATAGCATTCCATGCAATAGATGTGCAGCACTTCCTGACGCTTTGCTCTTTGGATGGGCATCTGTATTGTTTCTGTGTCACTGCTGCTGTGGATCATGCTGCTGTATAAGAGGGATGCAGATTGCTTTCTCATTTGCTGATTTCATTTGATTTGGATATATTCCCAGAAGTGGGATAGCTGGGTCATACAGTAGATTCTTTTCAGTTATTTGAGCACTCTCCACACTGGTTTTCATAGAAGTTCTTTATAAATCCTGTATATCAGTGCCCTGTATGTTGTGTAGTGGATCTGTTTTCTTTAAGTATCTGAGAAATCTCCATTCTGTCTTCCATCAGGTTGGTGCTAGTTTACATTCCCACCAGCAGTGAATTAGATGACTATTATCCTCACATCCTTCTCAGCATTGATGTTTTTGATTTTGGGACTTTGACATGAGAACTCAGATGGCTTTGCAGGACAGGGAGATATGATGGACAGCAGAAGCTACATGTTCTGGTCCCAAATCACCAAGATTTAGTGTCAGAGGCAAGAGTGAAGGGCCACTGCAGAGTCGCCTGTGAAGCACTGATGTGTTTAGACTTGAATTTAGGGACATTTAAGCACATTCTAAGTCGCAGGTTCTTTGAGACTGGAACCTGTGACGGTGAGCATCTCACCTGTCCCCGGTGCTACACTCAGGCCTCCAGAGTCAGCTCTGCCGAGGCTCACACGAAGCAGGTGTACTCATACGATGAACTGGAGGGAAGTCATGGTTTTATACACTTTGTTAGTTTGCTAGGGCTGCTATGACAAAATACTGCAGTCCAAGTCTCTTGAGACAGCAGTTCCTTTTCTCATATGGATGCTGGTGGTCCATCATCAGTGTGTCAGTGGTTATGATCTGTGTGATGCTTAGCTCCCTGGCTTACATACCACTGCCTTCACACAATCTTTGCTGTCTTCTTAAACAAGGATACCAATCAGAATTGATGGGAACCCATCCTAAGAGCTTCATTTCAACCTAAGTCCCCTACTTAATGTCCTATCTCCAAAACCTGAGGAGGTAGGGCTGCAACATATGAGAGGGGTAAGCAACTGCATGAAATTATTCTGACATCGATTTAAACATAAAATTGTATGTCGCTAAATTAGGAGCCTACTATTAGCCTGTTAGGACAGCACTTTCTTAAATCACCCCCAGTATCATACAGCAAGTATTAACAGAGAGATGGTCACCATTTTCAGTTACAGCTTCCTATGTGCTTGGCTCTGCTTCCTACAGTCTACACTAACTGTCCTTCTGCATCTAAGCACTTGGTTTTCTTGCATATAAAACTGAAGAGGTTAAATTGCTTATCTACACACTCCACCTTGGCCTCCAGGCATTATCTTTTGAACTCTGCTTCATCACCTTTCTACTCATTTTTTCTTGTTCTTCCTTTCAGTTACTGGAGCTCATTCCTGTTTGTGTTTCCCGTGTCTAAGATTCAAACATTCATACTTTGTGATGCTTTCATATTTCTTAGGAATTGGATGTGAGGGCGATCTGGCTGCAACATCTGTCACCCTGTTGATTGCCAGGGTTGGTTCGGCTGATCTGGCTGGCTAGGCGTGTGTCCCCTTCCTCCCTCGCCGCTCCATGTGCGTCCCTCCCGAAGCTGCGCGCTGGGTCAGAGAGGACAGGACGACAATCCCTGCTAGAGGAGGACCGGTCTTCGGTCAAGGGTGTACGAGTAGCTGTGCTCCCCTGCTAGAACCTCCAAACAAGTCCTCAAAAATCTAAGGAATTATCCTTCAACCTTATGTAAAGCTTATCAAACTTGGAATACCTTAGTCAAACACTGAATTCCTGCTACAAGGAATGTTGTAAGCTAATACTAGAGAAATTAAGAACTTTGTTTTTTTCTAGTTTTATATTAGATCCTTCTGCAAATGACAGAGACTACTACTGCTGTCAAGGAGCATATATTTGGCCGTTTCCACCAGTAGATAAATCCATGTGACATTAATGTCTGCATTCTATGATGTCTTTTTTGATGCTTAAAGTTCCATAAACATTTCTTTCTTGAAGAATCATCTCTGGTAAAGGTGTGGTCCACTGTTGGCACAGAATCCTTTACTTTGGCCTCTCTAATGGGTCAGGCTGTTCTGAAAATGTTTATTTCCCCTGGTTTTCTTCCTTCTTTACAAATGTGGCTATGGAAAGCTCTGAATTCTGTTTTTGAAAGACAGCATTATGTTACATTATTCTGGCTGTGTCTGTGACAAACACCAGAGTGTAATATTCTCCAAGTTAAGGATATGTTCCTGCAGCAGTAAATGAGAAAA